GCTTTTTCCGATGGCTTTCAATTGTCTTTCTTCTTGGCTCTTTTTTCGGATTATGTTCCTATTGTTTATTTTTCAGAAATATCGGACGTAGGTGGTTCATTAACTAACTAGTCAAGAGAGTTAAGTGAGGATAAAGTTTACATTTAACAAGATCGAGTTCAAGATCACCGGAAGAAAACACGTTTAGTAAATAATCAGAATTTTAAGCCTTTAAGAAAGAGTTACTTTAGGCGAAGAGTCGCACGTTAATGCTAATTGCATATCGATATAATTAAAATAACAATGTGTATGTTGGAACAGTAGCTTTGCATAATATATCCAAAACATTTAATAGATTTTAAATGATTGACAATGTTATTTTCGCCACCTATTGCTAACAACAAATTTGTACGACTGACACGTTGATAGCAACTAACACTTTCCGCGTTGACGTTCATGCAATTAAATTAAGACGTTGTTCTCGGAAACCTTTACAAAAGAGGATGTATGTATATATCATTCTTGGAATCTTGTTTAATTTTATAAAACAATACACCGTCACCGTTTCTCGCGAAATACGGCAGCGGATAAAATCTCGTTCGGTGGATCTTGACCGAAATGGCGACCGCGGCACGATAAATCATCGGTGTAGTTGCGATTTTACTTGTCCTCGGCGAATTCTGTGGTCGACGGAATAATGGACGAGGACAAATTTTGGGAGGGCAGTGTGTCGGGTTCAACGTTACTCAAATTGTGCTTGTTTCGTTCTCCTGCTGTCCACACTTGACTCTTTTTCCTTCAATCATTTCTCAAGAGTTGCACTTATAAATAAATATCAATCGCACTCACCATAAGTCATTTTCTAGATTTCCTTATCCAGATTTGCAAGACGTAAGTCATAAATATGAGAATTTATTTGAGAGAAAGTAGCAACTCATGGCCATACGATTAATGCTAAAAAACCTACCGTACCGATCAAAATGGTCGGTTTCACATCTTTGATATGATCGAACAAATTTTGTAATTCAAGCCTACATACATTATAATAAAACTAGTGAGAAATCTACGTAAATTCAATCTTTTTATTCTTACGATAGAATATAGATCAGTCATTTCTATTCTTCGGTAAGTTTGGTGTTCGTACTAAACCTACCAATCAGAGTAACAGTTCTCGCATTTATTAATGAAAAATTGCTGGAATATATGAAAGACTCTTTCATGGGAAATGAATACATTTCTTGATTGGTTCTTATAAAGTAACTGTTTTAGTCAGTCACGTTTAGTACTCGGTAATGTATGTTTAATGTGAACATTAATCATACTAAAATACAAAAAAATGTATTCATCTTCCATGAAGTAGTCTTTTATAAATCCAACAGTTTTGAATAAAAGGATGCGAAACCAGTCATTCTGATTGGTGAACTTATCGTCAAAAGTAACAATTTCCTGACCAGTGGATAAGTGTCAAAGGGGTGGGTGGGAGAGTACAACACGAGGGACAACCGAGAACGGAATATTCCTGTTTAAAGAAAGCAAGACGAGGCGGACGATGTCGGGACGAGCGCCGAAAACAGGGAGGAGAAGAAAGGGAAGGATCGTGCATACATCTGCATCCCATTATTCAACAATCGTCCCCTTCCTGTGTTTCACGCGAGCGATCCGTCTCCGGGCGCGGAGCGTAGGCCAATAAAAATCAAGCGATGGCCCGAGAGAGCACGTCTGGTATCGACGACCTCGCATCAGCCGACGACCTTCGCCCTGAAGAGAACCGGTCCCCGTTGCCGAGAGATGCGTCCCGTCGCCTCCGAGGGGCCCGCCGCGGGGCCCGATCGAATCGATTCGCGAGGGAAAATCGCGAGGTTCGGGGCCGAGACCGCGTCCCCGTTCAGCGGATGCCTCGGACACGGTTTACATAATGCTCGCGACGCGTATTGTACGAGCGTGCACACGCTCCGGAGGAAACCGATGACTCACCGATCATCGAGCCCGTCATCTGGGAACGATCGGTGATCGAGTGATCGCGATCGATGCTCGCGCGACCTTCTTTTTTCAACGCGTTGCCGGCAGTCCCAGGAAATTTCAGGAAAATACGTCCGAGCCCTGTTTAAAATAGTTGATATCGTTCGAATAGTGTTTCAAGGAAAAGACAAGGTTCTGAAAAATACCATAGTTTCATATAAATTCTGCCGCGGTCCTCGGTTGTCCTACACGTAAAACATAAAACTATCTTTAACGCTAAATCTACCTAAAAATGTCTGACATAAAAATTGCTGCTTTATAAAAATTACAGGACCGAATTCACTTAGACATCTTGCTATTTCTTCTGGTAACGTGTGTTCGAATAAAGAAATCTCTTGAATCATTTCCTGCGAAAGACGCTCTATAATTTCGACAATTTTAAATGAAGAAACGTGGAACCGGCCATTTCGACCAGCAAATATAAGCAGGTGCAATTTAAAGCAGTATCCCCAAATTAAGGGATATCAGAGTGTGCTATTTTTAGCTTATTAAAATGATTAAAGAAGCTCCAATGCCACACCTGTTCCTCGCAACAGATGCAGATATTTATTCCGCGCGAAGATCAGCTATCTACTAATTTACGTTGGTTTACAGCAATCGCCAGATCGGAGTATAATCAATCTTCGTGCTTCTATTATTATATACGCTTGAATAAAACAAGTTGAACAAAGTATTTCCGAAGAAACATATTTATAGCTTGAGGGAATATAAATGAAACGATCGGGAAAGATTAAAAAATACGAGTTAATGACGTCCGAGGAATGGATCAAGGTTGACAATTTGCTGTGAAAACTCGACCAGCGTCAGAAATCAACGCGATCGTCGTCGAAGAACGCGGCGTATTCGTTTCGAGAGGGTCCGGATGAACGAGGAAACGAATGAAACATTCCCGGATGAGTTTTTACGAGACGTTACAGCGTCTAAAAATTGTCGAGCGGCTGTACAAGAGCTCGGCGGCACCGCGTAAAATTGTAATGATCCGAGGCTCGTGGCGAAATTCACGCGCGCTTCCGCCAAGATCCAGGAAAACGGTGTGTTTCGGGCGAGTTGTGCACGCCGTACACGTACCAGACGATTCGTTCGCGCTCATTGAGAAGATGATCCCCGTCCCCGCGAACGAGAGAAAGACACGTAACGCACGGCCAAACGAAATTTCGCTGGCCCCGGTGTCTGCCCTTACACGTTAAGAGGTCACATCAACGATAATTCTTCGCATGAAGACAACACAATAAGAAGAGCCCGCTTTACGTAACGAACGGGATAATTCTATCAGAGCCGGGAGCTCGCGCGGTCACGAGCTTTCGTGCTTGCGGCGTCCTCCATTTTGATGCATCGTCGACACTGATGACCGGTCGTTGGATTCTTCCAGCTTCGATCTTGTCGTACGAAATTGAGCAGCGCACGATTACGAAATTATAGCGCAATCTTTTTAAAGGGAAATTTTCACTTTGGAAAGGTATCAACTTTGCCGTCGATAAAGATTTATTTGCAGCCGAATGTTTCATATCTCCGTTACGATCCGCGTTTCGAGATTTTTCTACGCGTCCCGAGTTCGAAAATCAGACGTTACCAATGAAAGAAGCTTGATGGAAAACCTCATGAAACAGAGAAAAATTGAAAGAACTAGAGACTTCGTTTCCCTCATTGTCCGCTAATTTGTGTCAATCTATCGAATTAAGAACGGGGCGAGGTAAAAGAAAAAAATAGCTGTACCGATAATTGGAGTAGCCGGAAAGAGTTTTTACGAGCCGAGCAGTGTCCTAACACCACCATCGGCACTCTGATCGCGGTCAAACATCAAGGTCCTTTTCACGTTTATCGGGCTCGTAACGCGCTGCTGCTGCTACTGCTGCACTTCCTGTCAATACTGAATCACACTGAACGAGTGTTTCTAAAACGTGTCAGTTCGATGAAAGCTAAACATCTCTGAATCATGGCTCGCTCGGTCTAACATCAAACTCAACATCTATCATCGTCATACCATCGAACCTAAGGAATAGCGACTAATGATTCCGAGTCATGAGAATACAGTCTCGTGAAAGAACAAGAGGCTGTCAGCTGCTGCGAAGCTATCCGACAAAACCACCGCGAAACGATCGCGAAAACTAAATATAAATCTTCCCAAACGGATCCATCTAATCGTAATCACTGCGAGCGCATCGAATCAGCGATCTACTCCGAAACGAACGATCTATCTATCGACGAGCAACGGCCACAGGCTTGCCGGACGCCGCGCGGTGGCTCGGACGACAAACCGATCCAAGGGAAAAGAACCCACAGTTCGCGCGACAACGAAGCGATCACTGGCCGTTTCTCACCAAAAAATCGAGTCACGTCCCGGCCACTCACAGAATCTTCTGGTTCCCGGGAGCCCTAACGGCCGAGCCGTTTCACTGTACCGATTCCGGGCGTGATCGCGTCTGGCCGGCGATCGTAAGAGCTAGACCCTTCGAGGGCTTTCTACGGAGGCTCAAGCTCACGGCATCCTCGGAGGCAGCGTGTCGTGGGTGCATGATCCAACGGGCCTCGAGGCACGATAGTTGGAAAATCGTCGGAGGATCGCGCTGGCCCCGGCTCGTTTTGCTCTTGCCGCGGCGTGGGCCGTGTAGAGAGGAATCGGCGTGCAACACGGCCGACAGCCGGTCGATCGGTGGTTCAGGGAGGAAGAAGGAAAAGCGAACAGCGAACGCAGGGAGCCAGTGGCGGCGAGCGAGAGGAAGAAGGAGGGTACGCCGGCGGGGTCGGAGGGGCAGACGGCAGAGGAGGACGGCGATAGACCGAGGGACCTTATCCGGACGGAGAGCAGAAGAGGAGAGCGAAAGAGGGGCCCCTAGGCTGGCCGGGCGAAGGGGTCGGGGCCCCTGTACGATCGCAGCCGAGCCGGCAATGGTGGGCAAATGGGTATATAAGCGGGGCCCGGATGATTCCATCTCGACACACGACCCAAACCTTCATCCCGAACACCAACCGAACGGTTCCTCCGTAAAACGAGCGTAATCGCACGCGCGCGACTGAAAACAGACAGAGAGAAAGAGAGAGAGAGAGGAAAGAGAGACCACAACAGGGTTGACACTCGCGCAAACCACTTCTCGGCCCTCTTTTGTCCTTGGCTGTTTACCGGCCGGAGCGTTTCCACGGTTTTGCTGTTTGGTCCGGTAACACGGTTTCTGCGATCGGTGAGAGAGCCCGTCTCCGCGAGAAAAGCCAGCGACGAGGAAAAGAAGCCGACCGCTAGGAGTCGACGACCAGAGGCTGCTGTTTCGGTTACGTTCAACCGACGGAGAGACAAAGACGTGAGTACGCACACACATACACACGCAACCATATCTTCTTTCCTCGTTCTTTCCGTCGCGAGTCCACGGGGGAGTTCTCTTGCGAGCGCGGGGAGTCTCGGGAAACGCGGGGGAGTCGCGGGATCTCGGCTTTCAGCGATCGTTTTCCAGCGATCGCTTTCGACCTATTCGCCGGAAGATTCGACGGCTCCGCGTTTCGAAAGCGATAATCCGAGATGTCATCGTAACACGAGCCCGGTGAAACGGCGCGGCGGCCTACGAAATCCGTGATTAAAGCGGGGAAAAAAGAACGCGCGGGCAAATAGAATAATCGTCGGGACATATAATTCGCGTGGATTTCACAAGCGGCGAACCCGCGTTTGCGTAATTCTTCGCTTCCTCTCGCAACGCGAACTCTTTTTTCCGCGGCCTGCCCCCCCCCCCCCCCCCCCCCCCCCCCCCCCCCCCCCCCCGCCGCCGCCCNGAAACGGCGCGGCGGCCTACGAAATCCGTGATTAAAGCGGGGAAAAAAGAACGCGCGGGCAAATAGAATAATCGTCGGGACATATAATTCGCGTGGATTTCACAAGCGGCGAACCCGCGTTTGCGTAATTCTTCGCTTCCTCTCGCAACGCGAACTCTTTTTTCCGCGGCCTGCCCCCACCCACCCACCCACTCCACCCCACCCTCGCGCTGCGTTGCGGCCAGCGAGAGTGTTTCCTCACGGTTAATTAGCCCCCAGCTAATCTGCTCGATCTACGAATTAGCTGCGACACACGAGGTGCGAATAGAGACGAGCATAGGATTCTCGGAATCGTTCGAAACCCCGGCGGCATGAAATCGGTAAAGTAACGCTTTAAGTGCGACTTTCGAATCGGTTGATGCTTCCTCGAGACATACGAACTAGCTGTTGAAGCTTCGCGAACCAGAGAATCGTCGGCAATCGCGCGTCTTGAAAAGCTGGATCGTTTAGCTGCGATTTCCTGTAAGATCGTCGGGACGAAGTCGCGCTGCCGTAATTCGTTGTTCGAGATCGATCCTCGCTGAAAAGTGATCAGAGCCGACCGGTGTTCTAGCATGTTCGCGTCAACTGCGCCGCATTCTCCGTCCAATTGATTCAATGTACGCAGATTAGATCGACAATCGCGCACTTCGAAAAGGATAGAGCCGACAATAGATCGCGGGCCGTGAAGAATAGAGAGAGGGCAAGAAAGAGAGAGAGAGAGAGAGAGAGAGAGAGAAAGAGAGAGAGGGAGGGAGAGAGAGAGAGAAGGGAAGCAGAAAGCATTGTGAAGCGGTGAACCACTTGATGGACCGCAACTTCTTTGTAACCATGCTGCCATTATTGTATCTCTGATGATCTTGATAAGGTAATGGGTGGCCATCATCTTTCACAGGCATATCCTCCCCATCAAGTCGTGCCCGAGGCCTCCCCCGCGAGGTATCGTCGCATTGTTTTTCTTCCTGGTCCAATTATCCGGCTTCCGAGCGACACTCTGCGAAATAGCCGCACCATTGAACGGCCATTGAAAAATGTCACGTAAACGTCAACTCTCTGTTACTGCCGCGCAACCAAGCCCGCAATCAGCGACGCCGACCGTCCGTTCGTAACAAGGCCTAGCCGGAGTCCTTTCATCGAAAACGATCTCGCTGTTCGAGTGATTCCAAATCATTTTCGCTCGCACTTGATAGACGAATGTCGCGATACTCGATTTTCTTTTGGCGGAGGAAACAGGCCGCGCGGACTTCCGACTTCCGATATATTTTTGAAAATCGATACGTCTCTTCGTGTTCGCGGCCCTTAGGCGTTCATCCCCTATCGGACCGAGTCGAGAGGCCCCGTCCTCTCTCCGTCCAGCAACCGTAAAAACTGGCCGCGTTCGCCGCTGCCATACTTTTGATCTCTCTTGTCGGCCAGTTTTTCCGTCTTTATCGGCGTCTACCCTCTCCGTTTCGCCTTCTCGCGGCGCGCATTCCGCCACGGTTGCGTTCTCCAGAAGGCGTGTCCCCGGGACACAACGGAACGACACGCTCCCGCGTCCCCCGTCCCGTCCGATTTGCGCAATTTTCGGCAAGCGCGATATACAAATAAGGCGGTCGGCTCGCTCGGCTCTCGTCCTTTGTCGATCGCCGGGGCACCCATGCCCCCCTCCGGGGCCGCGACGGGGCCCGATTTCTGCCCCGGGCGACGGAACGTTCGGGAACGCGAGTTCTCGACCCGCGCAACGAGAGAACAGCTTCCTCCCGATGCAAATTACTCGCTTGATTGGCCGCGGACTCGGACCTCCGAACGGAAGGTCGTTCAACGGTAGCTCGGTAGCCGAGAGAATGCTATTGGACTTGGTTTTTACGCGACCACCAGCCGGTCTAACTTGCGCCTACCACGATTTCGTCAGCGCCGCGTTCCCCTTGTTGCCGGGCCATGAATACATCGACCGGCCGCCGCTGTGCTTCTCGATTCAACTGGGTCAAACACGGAAAATGGATCTTTTCGTCTTCGTAACTGACAAAATTGTACGAAGTATCTCAAGTTACGTCCACGTTATCTCCGGATCTACACGATCGATTTACTCCGCGCACCGTTTGCCAACAGCCTGTATCGCGAGATCACGTCGAAACCGCTATTTGCTCGAGTTTTGCACGCGAGAATCTAGACTCGGAGTTCTCATTCGGAACGGCTTTTCTCGTGAATATGAAATTGAGCGTATTCAGTCGGACTGCGCTTGGATCGGTAATCGAATCGAATAATTAAAAATATACGATGCTAAAAAGCCTCGTTTCACTTTCTTGGTAAAGAAGTCGCGCCGTAAGCTAGAATAAAACCCATTGCTTGCTCGCCGGTTATGTTCGACGATGAGATAGTGTCGCATGGACGATTGTCTCCGGTTTCCCATTTACCTACCGCAGACGGATGGCCGTTCGAGGCTTCCACGATCGCGACGATACCAATTTACGTAGTGGAATCGGTTTACGTTGCTCGAACGCCGCCGGGGAAACCGATTCGCCGACTAATTTCCTGTCACGATTCTTCTCCCGCCTCTAATCCGATGTGTCTCTCGCCAAGAAACTACAATGTCGCCGGGGTTAGTAAACTAACGAGCGAACATTGCGTTCGTTGGCACGGCAGCGAACGCAGTTCGCGTGGATCGTGATCGAACCGGCGGCAACAGGCTATTTGGAAACGAAACGTCTATAATTTCGACGACTGCATCGAACCGCGCAGTCTCTCCTTCCGTTTCCACGATTACCGGAAGACCCACCCATGTTTCACTGTCCGTTCGCGGATCACGCAACCTTCGCCCGTCGAACAAGACCCGCCCCGCGTTCGTGTTTATTAAAAAAAAAACACACGATTCGATCCCGTCGTCGTCGTCGTCTATCCGCGAATCTTTCGAGAACCGTGAGCAACGTGGTCGCCGCTCGCCTGCGTTTCCAATCTACCTTCGGTTATCTGGCTCTCCTCGGACATCGAATCCGGGATATTCAATCCGATTAAATCCGCCGCGACACCGACGTCTCCGACACGCGAGCGTCTAATCTTCTATAATCTTCCGCGAGATGGAAAGAGACGGAGAGAAAGAGAGAGCAAGAGAGAAAAACGACGAAGAAAGATGCGCTTCAGCAAAGTCGTCGCGCGAGCGCGCGCGTAACGAGCGCGAGGGGCACGCATCCTGTCATTAGTTCCATGACGCTCGCCTTATTCAATGCATTCGGTTCAATGTCACCTGTCCCTCTCCTTCCTGCCGGATCTTCTAGCAGCCCCTTGTCCATCCTCTCCCAGTCCCATCCTCTCCGTTCCCCCGTCTCATCCCGGCCGATAGTCATAGCTTTTCGTTTCGCGGCCCATTCATACGGCCGTGTTCTCCATTCATGCCAAGTGCCAGAGAGCCCGCGTGCCTCACGTCCGCTCTCTTAACTGGAAGATTGCGAGGAAACGTCCCCTGGCAGCTCGTTTCCTCTCCCTCGTCGTTTCGTTCTTTCCTGCCCAGTCTTCGGCCCGAGTCTCGTCATCTTCCTCGATTCTCCGCGCCGGTCGAGTCTCCTCTCTCTCTCTCTCTCTCTCCCGACAGATCCAGATTTTAAGGTAGATCGTTATTTCGATTGCCACGTTGCGAACGCTGGACAGTTATTCCGTTCTCAACGAATGCATGCGGATTCGCATCTCTCGCACCACGTCCGTCCAATTTTCACGCTTTAATTCGACCAGTGTTCCGCGAATAATCGAACACCTTAGTGCACAAATCGGATAAGTCCGTACCTTGAAACCTGGTTCTATCACCGAGCAGTTTGAAACGTAGGCTAATGGAGCCGGTTACCGCTAGCTGACCAATTGCTGTGTCTTATACCCTCGTTTTCGGGTTCAATTAGCTTCGCAATTAACGAAGAGGCAATATTAAATGTTGTCATCCAAAAATAAACGAAACAAACGAATAGAAAAATTTGATACGTCTTGTTCGATAAATATCAAGTTAATCATGCCCGAAAACGAACCGAACGTGCACACTAAATCTCTAAAGACTCGTCCGGATTTTAAACAAACGGTTCAATGTCTCGCAATTGTCTGGTGAATAAAACCGAACGTTCCTTTTTGTTTCGCAGATATCAAGATGAAGCTGCTCGTGACAGTGTTGTTGTGCCTGGCGGTGGTGAAGGTGGTGGAGGTCTTGCCTCTGGCAGGAGTGGAAGAGCCGTTGGATAGGCGGGACACGGCCGCCTCGCCGACCGATGTTCCGGACCAGAATCCGAAAGCAGCGAAGGCCGAGCCGGCGCCAGTGGCAGAGCCCGGTCTGAGGAGCGAACCATCATCCAGCTCTCTGTCGCCCAAGCCGGAGGAGAAGAAAGAAGAGGCACCGGCGAAGCTCGAGGAGAAGCAGGAAGAGCCTGCCGCGAAGTCCGCGGAGAAATTGTCCGACGCTGTGCCCACGCTGGCGCAGCCGCAGCCGGTTCAGGAGGCGAAATCGGAGCAGCCTCAGGAAGCCAAAAAGGAGGAGGAGAGCCTGAAGCTGGCAGCCTCCGAGTCCCACGAGACTGCGCAGGCCGCGCCTCAAGAGCCGAAACAAGAGCCCGCTGAAGCTCTCGTCGAGCAGACCGTGAGTATTCCATCGACGCAGACATATTGTTTCAACCTCGACGACGTTTTCTGACCGAACTTGTGCTTGTTTCAGAAATCCATCGTGCTGGTCGAGGGCAAGAGCTCCGAGCAAAGCAACTCTGGCGAGAAGAGCAACGCGGAAGCCGCCGAGAAGGAGCCGAAGGAAGAGAAGAAGCTCGAGGAAGCGAAGCCCGCCGTGAGGAAGGAAGACGAGTCTGCTTCGTACTCGTTCAAGTCCTCCGAGGAAAAGGCGGCCCTTGCACCGGAAGAGAAGAAACTCCTCGACAAGCCCCAGGAGGTTCCGGAGAAGAAGGCTGACGAGAAGCCCGACCGCGTGACCCGCGACGCCGAGGAGGCAGTCCCGGCAGTGAAGAAACTCGAGCAACCATCCGAACAGTCCCCGGCGGCCGTCGAACCCGAGAAGCCCCTCGAGCAAGCGAAACCATTGGAAGAAGCTAAGCCAGCCCTGAAGGCCGAGAAGGTCGAGCCGGTCGCCGCTGAAGTACCACCGGCCGTCAGCGAAGGCGCCGCCAAGGCCGAGGAGAAGACCGATGACGCCCTTCAGCCGGCGAAGGAAGCGAAGAGCGCCCTGGTCGCCGCCCAGGCCGAGTCTACGTCCGCGTCCGTGTCCGAGCTGGTGAAACCCGAAGAGGCCAGCCAGGTGAAGAGCGAAGCTGCCGCCGATGCCCAGACCCAGGCAAAAGCCGCGCCGAACGAGGAGAAGAAGGACGAGCCGCTGAAGCAGGACGCCGTCAAGGAAGCGAAGTCCGAGGACTCCTCGGAAGAGAAGTCGGCCGAGAAGAAGGAGTCCAAGAGCAGCAGCGAGGAGGACAAGTCCTCCGAGGAGAAGGAGTCCAAGCCCGCCGAGGCCAAGCCCGAGCTGTTGCCCAAGCCCCAGGAGCTCAGGAAGGAGATCGTGTAACTTTGGTCGCAGCGCGGGAAGACGTACAACAACGGTAGCCCCAGAAGCAGCAACATCAACGAGAGCGATCGCTCGCAGTTTATCGATACACCGCGTTGACCACCAGCGACAGGATGCGCGCGAGTTCTTCCCCTTGGTTAAATAGAAGCGAGAGGAAGAGCCTCTCGCGTGTACGTAAAAAAAAAAAACAAGCGTGAACGGGAACGGGAGAGAAAGAGGATACGAGAGTGAAAGCATCGGTGTGAATGGGAGAGATTGTTCGATCACTTTGTGGCAGGGTCCAAACATCCCCGGCGCGCTACAATTCCGAGTTAAAAAAGAAAGAAAACGATTAAAAAAAAAAAACAATAACAAACAAACGAACGAACGACGAAAACACAGGAAAAAAAAATGATGCCAATGTTCATCGATTCGGGGCAGGATGACCACGTGCTGCCTGGCTGTGAGGGATAGCGAAACACGCCCATCAGGAACACGTGGCCACCCTTCAGGGTTTCGATTGATGGCGCCACGCCACGGATCGACCGTAGAAATTCGTCCCGGTGGACACTGCGATTTGTCCGCGGGGACGATACCCGTGCCCCCTGGATTAGTATCCTCATCCCAAAATCCCCCAAGTTTCTTTTTGTCCCTCCTCTTTTGTCTTTGTATCTTCTTTTTTTTTTTGTTTCTCAAAATCCTCACTCGCCCACAACCACAACCTCATCCCAATAAATTAGTGTGTAGCTCGACTCTGTCTTTTTTTTTTTTTTAGAGATACGTATCATTATTATTATTAATATTATTATTATTACGATTTAGTACCAGTACCGCTATTATTATTATTATTAATATTATTATTTGTATTATTGCTATCGTTATAATAATAATTATTATTATTACTGTCAAAACCCGGCGATGTTCACTCCAATGTTCACTCCACCGCGAAATCGACCGTTCCAAGCGTATCCTCGATAAGAGACAACTATTTTTGCTCGCGCCTGCGACACGATCGAGTTCCATCCGACCGCCCGATCATCGATCGTGACCGGTTTAACAAACTCGCGATCGGTAGCCGAACATCGTGATGGAACTCCCGACGCGGCCGTTCAACATCGATTCCGTGCGCATTCCGATCGGTCGCAATTACGAGCGTCGTCGTAATGACGCGGAAAAAAAGACAGCCTCGAGGCGAGATACGGTGTGCTAACATGCGAGTCAAGAAGCGTCACGTGCGAGCGCTGTGTGACGTTTGTTGACATAACGATCGCGGCGTGACGCGGTGACTCGCAATGCGAAATCGCTCGCGAATTCGAAGCCGGACGCCGCTCGAAAACAATTTGTTTCTTCTGCGTTCGGAGAAGATCGGATCGAGGAGGAAATCGATCCGAGCATCGGAAAGAAGGAAGATTCTCGGCGAGAAACAGATCGCGAACGAATCGTGCCCCTCTGCACTTTGGGAATGCACGGTTGCACAATCGGCACTCGCAGATTCGCGCGATCGGTCGTCACGCCTCGCGCGCAATCTGCACGACCACGACATTTCTCCGCGGTGCATCGCGATGCACCGACTCATCGGGAGGCAGGCCGGAATGAAAAGCCAGCGTGTCTCCGGCGCGCACGCTTTTGTAAACAGTTGAGGACAGCAGAGGTGAGTGGACCCGGCGAAATGTCAAGGCGTGAAGGGTTTTGCAACGAACGGGATACGCTCTTTGGTTTCTTCGATCAGAGTCCCCGCATAGCTTTACGCAAGATCGGCGAACGAGACCCGCCGCGATATCGCGACCAAAGAACGCTCGCGGGAAATCGGTCACGTGACGCCAGACGGTCGAACGAAAACCGTTCACCGCTTGAAAAACGTGACCGTCATTTTTGGTCGTCGTCCGTCGACGCTGCCGAGTCGAGGGCGAACGTCGATTTTCGAAAAATACACTTTTTCACCGGGCATCGAACGAGTTCCGGAATATTCTAATAAGTTCTATTTGAAACGTAGACCTTTTTTCAACGAGTTTTTGCAAGTAAACATTTTAGTTTGAATAGAAGTCATACTAAAATACAAACGTTCATCGAAGAAAGTTTGCGATCATTGTCGCACATCCGAAATACCATTTAATGATTACCGAGTCTTTATCAAAATCTGTGATTCATAGCCGAGGATTTATTTTAATAAGAAATTTACAATCGTGAGACAAATCGTTCCATGTAATATAATCTAATAATATATCTTCTGATTATTAAGAAACTTACTAATAGGCCCTTAGATTAAGTTTTGAAGAAGGGATAGTATTATTTGCATCTCCTGAGAATTTCGTGAAGGAATTCATAAAATTATGAAAATTACGGAAAGCAATATGCACTTCAACAATTCTCATCGCAGTATTCAAATTTCCAAACGCATTTTATCTCTGATCTTTTTAAAATCGGCTTTTTAAAATCGGCGGAATTAGTACCGGTGATAAGTATTATTGAAAAGTTCAAGGCGAAACATAAGCATTACAAACAATTATGTTTAAACAACTGTTCCAAATGAAACAGGAAAGTCGGAGAAAATAACGGCATCTGTAATATGGCTAAAACCAGAGCGAGAATCAACTGCCTCCGTGGCGCAATCGGCTAGCGCGTTCGGCTGTTAACCGAAAGGTTGGTGGTTCGAGCCCACCCGGGGGCGAACTTTTTTTCTTATTATTAGACAAAATTTTTTTATCATTAACATTTCACAGAAACTAATCGCATTGAACCTTATAGGAAAGTATAGTAACAATATAAGGGAAAACAAAACAGTGATGCAACATATTTAATTCTGTTAGTAATATAGTTAATCTGTCGCACGATTCTATAAATAACTATGTAACATTCTTTGGAATTTATACTTTCTAATATTTTATAGCTATGTTTATATGAATTTATAAGTTATTAACATCGTTAATATAAACTCTGAAATACTTAATGCCTCCGTTAATGTAAACATTTATACATAAACATATGTACAAATTTCTATCTTTTTATCAGCGTTTAAGATATTTCAGCAGATATTACATTTATTTCTTAATAATTAATAAAGGTGTACTTATAATTTTATTGTTTTATTGCTATTATTATTACTGTACAATTGTATATACATATGTATATATATTTTCTATTTTGATTATTATAAAATAAATATAACTGTTTTAATATAATAAATAGTAGAAAAATAGAAATTTGCAATAAAAAAAAAGCAATTGACCCCGACGTGATTTGAACACGCAACCTTCTGATCTGGAGTCAGACGCGCTACCGTTGCGCCACGGAGTCGGTTGATGTACAGTTCCTTTAAAATAGTCATAAAGAAAAGATAACTCCATGTTCACAAAGATAAATGTAATTATTATTATCTTCATGGAACAAAAATTTAAATTATATATTTAATGCTCTGTATTCGATTGATTTTATACAAAGTAATACATTCATAGAATGTATACAATTGTAATAGCATTTAGTTACCCTGAAATAAAAATACATGCACATCACATACCTGGTTTGTCAGCATGATACAAGCAAGGACTCCTAGTGACCACCAATCTACTTCTTGTCCATAATATTGTCTCTTCAGTATTTCTGGTGCTGTAATTAATCGGAAATGTATAATTCATATCATCTCTCTCGCTTACAAGTGCAAGAATTACCACTACAGGAACAAATATTTGAATAATACTTTGATATTTACCCATATATTCAGGTGTTCCACAAAGTGTGTTAGTTCTTTCAGCATGAGTTAACCATTTTGCTAAACCAAAATCAATAATCACAGCATGACCTTCTACATCTAAAAGAACATTTGTTGCCTTTATATCTCTATGTACTACCCCAACATTGTGCAAAAAATCTGTAACGAAATGTAAGGAATGTTACAAATTGTCTTATGCAGAAGTTCAGGATTAAATGCACGCACCAATAGCTAAAGCAATTTCTGCTACATATATTCTAACTACATTTTCAGGCAGGGCACCACACTCCTCGACTAGTGAAAATAATTCTCCTCCACCAACATAATCGGTTACTAAAATTTGAGAATCGTATTAGATAATATTTCGTTATAGATGGTAACAGTAAAATAAAACTAAGCATACATATGTATAACGTCTTTCTTCCTTGCCATTTATGAGTACAATTTAATATAAATGGATGGTGACCAACAAGCCTTTGTATAGCAACCTAAAACAAGATATCAATTTAAGTTATGTTAATAATTTCATATATAAATGCTCAATATTATATTACATACTTCCTGTTTTGCCTGCATTACTCCATTTTCCGTAACAACTTTGGCTTTGCTAATAGCTTTCAAAGCATAAACTTTCCCAGTGTCTTGTTTTAGAATTTTATATACTTTCCCATATGCTCCTTTAGCTATTACACATATAAGCTTACAAGTACTTTGCAAAGGTATTGGTCTTATTTGAAATTCTGGAAGGAACATAGCTTGAGAACGCGATACTGGCCATTGTGTTTTCGAAGTATCTAATGAGTGGTATACCGTGCCTTCGCTCCAACTAAAAATTACAAAATTATCACTTGAAGGTAGCAAATTATCACTTGCAGTTAGAGGTTTAAAAATAGTACCTTTTATTTGAAACACGAGACCATGATTTAGATTCTTTATTTGAGGATTGTGTTGTTCCGACACAACTTCCACCAATTAGATCACTGAGACTATACTGTATGAGAGAAATAATACAACATTTATCCACTATTGAACATCATATCATTAAATATATATTTCTAACATTAACAATATTACTCAAATCTGTAGAGGTTATAACTATTTTAAAACATATATACCTGACTGGTATACTTCTGATTATTGTAATATTTGTTTTTGTTGGTAGTATTACCCATTCGAGTTGCAAAATGTAACAATTCCTGTAATATTATGATATTTTAATATAACAATACATAGCATTTACTTTATTGACATTTTTTATTTAGACATCATTCTTTTCAATAATTTGATCAATAAACTTCATTATAATAATTTCTAAGCAATATATGGTAATATATGGATTTATTACAAATCAATTACTAAACATATGTATCAAATTTATATGTATACTTATAATGTATGACATGATCAATTAATTACTAAAAAAAGATATTCATTGAGTAACATAAAAGAAGTTTGCATAAATGCCTTTTCAAATGTTAAATTCTGTAATTTTAAATAA